TTTCATATCTCCCACTTGTGGGTAGTGGGCACCCACCACCAGGTGCAGGGCATGTGGCTGCTGCTGAGGTCTGACGTACAGGTTGTGAAAGGAGTGTGCGTGTGTGTGTGTGTGGGTGGTGGTGGGGGGGTTTTTCTCTCATCTCCCTTGCTGGACCAGGGATGCATATACCGGTAATAGCACACCTAATACAATTATTTCATGAAGTAAATCACACCATTGATTGCTCCCAAACAAAGCACTTTTCATTCATAATATTGAGAATAAAGCCAATAGTTCGCAGCTTATTTGTGTGAAATCACTGAAAAAAAATTTATACAAAAAACAATCTGCACACCAAGGAAGGCAAATTAATTTAGCACTAAGTTGTTTGGACTCATGTTGGGGAATGGGCAGTGATTATCTACTCTGCTCGAGTGCCAATTACACACATGGAAAATGAACAAGAACAGGTCAAAGCCATCAGGTGACCAGTTTAGGAAGAAGAGGAGAAACAAGCAAAAGGTAAAGGTATGCAGCTCTGTCATATCTTGGAGCATGAAAGATGTTTTGTTATGTAGACTGTAGCCAGTGATGGGGAATGTATACATTGAACCTGTGATGGGAAAGTAGAGGCTGAAACCACTGAGGAAAGAGCTGCAGCAGGCAAACCAGACGAGAAACCAGTGATGATGGGTACAGTGGTAGATGAGGAACCAGTGATGAAGGATGCAGCATTGGACATTGAACTAGTAGAGAATGGAGCTGCAGCGGGCAATGATACCAGTGAGGCTGCAGCAGACATAGAGACCAGCAAGGCTACAGTGGGAATAGAAACCACAGGAGCTGCAGTATAGAGGTGTAGTATGACATATGCTGGATATATTCATACATTTCACGGGTTCTTCATTTTTCTGACTGTGTAGCATGCGTGCATTGAGTTTAACAGAAATGTAACGAGAGACGTTATTTATCTTTGACCCATCAAAATGAATGCGGTCATTTATTTGCAGAATCAAAGTTTAACATCAAACATTTACATTAATTTGGCAAAATATGAAAACAATAACATGGCTAGTTTCACAGGAAGTGGGAACAATACGGCGATTGTCCTCACTTTTCAGCAGAACAGCAGACATCAATCACACGGCGGTGATTGAGAAACTTTGCTTCAGACATTTCTAAAATATCCGTAATGATTTTTAGGAGAAAGGAGAGTTTAAGATGGAAAATGGAGATTTATCTTACAGAGAGATGTGTGAGGGAATTTGTTTGTTTTAACCAGAACGTGCACGCTCCTTCAGATCTCAGCTTGGCCAACGGTACACTTTTGGTGAAGGTCGACTTTACCTTTCTGAAGATAGATCAGTTTGGCGTGAAGTCCTACTTCCAGCCACCTCCAGCGTCTCCGTTGAGAACAGCTAAAATACCTCGAGAGTCGTGCGAGGTTATCCAAACAGAAGTTATAATTCCCAAAATCGTCCCTGCATTCTGGATTCAAGAACTCTGAACTCCTTCAGAGCTCTACTCTTTTAAGCTCTTTTCATCTCGTCGCGTCTCTCTTCGACAGAGACTCGACACAGACATCAGACCTTTTTTTGACACTTCTCTTCAAGCTCTGAAAAAACTCCCCTGTTGAACTGGGAAGTCGCCACATTTAAACGGGCTATACTTCCGGTTCATTTGAGAGCTTTTTGATTGGTCGATGGACCAGAACAGAGGTGTGGTTTGTGATGTAAGGTGTTATGAAAAGTCAAGGATAGAGATTAAGATTGTTTAAAACAGACAGAAAGATTATTGGAGAAAACCAGTCTCAGTGGCGTCTCTTCTCCTAGTATCTGCTGTAAAAGTCAAACATGACATTTCTTTTCAGTAAACTTTTTTAGTTGACCGAAACCTGAACTTTAACACACACTTACAAACTTGCTCATTGAAGACAGAAAAATCAAGAAATGCATATTACCCTGATTTCTTCTTTGAATGAGGAATAAAAATCATTACTTACTGTTTATGTAAATAAAAATGAGTAGTTCTCTTCAACCTGTAAACATTGTTTGAACTAACACAATTTGATTATCAAACATTTGTAAAATAGTAATGATCATAGAGAATTGTCATTTCTACTTGATTAATTCAAGAAAGAAAGTCTCAGGATGGGTCAAACTGTATTTCTGGATGCAGATCAATGAAATGACAGTTTCTGTCCATCTGGTCAGATTTGACATCAGGTCAAGTTCACTACAGAGGCCACATGGGAGGCTGCAGCAGATGTCAAGCGAGTGAGTTGCAGCATTGAGAAACTAGTGATGAGGGGAACTGCAGCTGCTGATACCATAGATGAGGGAACCACTAGAGGCTTGGGGTAGAAGCAGTAGAAGCTGCAGAACCAGAGGCCGAGTGGGGGGTCATTGTCCTTGATACCCACGGAGAAGCACGAAGGAGGTGGGTCATCATCCCGGACACCCACGGAGAGGTGCAAAGGAGGAGGGTTGTCATCCCATTGTCTGAGGCGAAAGCTCAGATGTGGGAGGAGTTCGGCGAGGTCTTGGATAAAGACTCTTGGTCAGCTCCAATGAGTTTCTGGCAAACCATCAGGCTGCTGAGGAGGGGAAAGCAGTGCTTTGCTAACACTGTGTGCAGTGAAGGTGGGGTGGTGTTGACCTCAACCAGTTATGTTGTCAGGAGGTGGAAGGAATACTTCTCAGACCTTCTCAATCCTACCAACATGTCTTCCTTGTAGGAAGCTGAGTTGGGGGACTTTGCGGTTAGTCTGTCCATAACTGTGGCTGAGGTCGCTGAGGTAATAAAAAAGCTACACAACAGCAGGGCTCCAGGAGTGGATGACAGTCACCCTGATTTTCTTAAGGTTCTGGATGTTGTGGGGCTGTCTTGGTTGACATGACTTTGCAACATTGCATGGACATCAGGGGCAGTGTCATTGGAATGGCAGACTGGGGTGATGGTTCTCCTCTTCAAAAAGGGGGACTGGAGGGTGTTACACCATTATAGGAACATAACTCTCCTTAGCCTCCCTGGTAAGGTCTATTCAGGAGTACTGGAGAAGTGAGTCCAATTGTTACCATACCATACCATACCACTTTATTTATAGAGCACTTAAAACAGCGACAAGGCCAACCAAAGTGCTGTACAGACAAAACAACAGACAACACACAAAGCAAAATACAAAATGAGGTAAATCAGAATAGACATAAAAATGATGCAGATAATAATGACAAACCAGTGTGGAGCATACAGGATCAAAACACAGATCATCTTGTGTTGAAAGCTACTGAATAGTAGTGAGTTTTTGAACGGGACTTGAAAACTGAGAGGGAGGGGGCCTGTCTGACAAGCAGAGGTAACTCGTTCCAGAGTCTTGGTCCAGCTACAGAGAAGGCCCTGTCACCTCTGCGCTTAAAACAAGTTCCTGGAACTGTGAGGAGCAACTGGTCCGCTGACCTCAGGG